TTTTTTTTTTTTTTTTTTTTTTTTTTTTTTTTTTTTTTTTTTCCAGTGATTTGTTGCCTACACACGTATAGAGTAAGTAATTGGAAATTATCCTCTGTCTGCGAACTGAGGTCCAAGGTACTTTGATCTATACTGCAATACCTGATGTATCTGTATCAATTTTTACTGCCCATTAAATTGGAGCTTAGCTCGGATTTTAATAGTGTTTTTTGTTCATTATCTTTAGTTGGGTTTATTAGGAAAGGCAGTTGTTGCAAGCAGCGATAGCTTTTTTTGTACAAGCTATTTGGGTCGTTCACGCGTTGAATGCACAATTCTCGTTCAACGTACCCAAAAGTGACTGATGACGTTGACTTCCATAGTTTTGACGAGCATGTTGTCCGGCGTCTCAAGGAACCTCTTGGCCACCACGATACCCGCATTGTTCACGAGAATCGACACCTGCAAAAAAACATCCATTCTCCATCGTTTTCAGCTGCACTATAAAGAACAATTATAATATTGAGCATTTTTAATTCCCCCCTGTATCGCAGGCACCTTCGAATTGCCAATTTAAACACAGCACGGGCTCTTTCGAAAGGAATGGAAAAAAAAGAAAATAGAGTCTACAGTACGGTCGACTGCTAATACGCCAAAAGTCCGGAGTGGCAATTTTCGCGGACCAAACCCGTTTCTCTTGAACGCTTAAATTCAAATACTTATCTGGTCCGACGCAACAATATTCGTCAACCTTCGATAAACGAAACAAAAGACAGAAGCGCTTAGATACGCTCGAAACAAAAAAAAAAATAAAAAAAAAACAAGCCATTTGTAACAATTCATACATGCGCCCGAAACACCGATGGGCTTTAAATTATTTATCTCCCCGACGATACCGAAGGGAACGAAAAAAAAAAAAAAAATAGTGGTCCTCGACGTGTGGCCATACGAGACTCAGCGAGAGATGAAGCCTTCTCTCGAGCATTGCGAGAAAAGGTACCTATGGAGAAGCGGGTCAGCTGCACCTATCGCGCAAGAGCCGCAAGGCTGGCGTAATAATATAGGCAATCGCCGACTCGGGACTTTCGCAACGCCACACGTGCGCCGCGCGCCTCAACAGCTACAGTTGCACTTGTACTTTGAGCCTCTATCTCTCTCTCTGTTTTGCATCGTTTGGAAAAAACTTTTTAAAAAATCTTATTTATCGCTCGAAAAGACCGGAACGCGTTGGCGACTCGACACATAGAGTGCAATTTTGTCGAATGTCCGCTACGGGGGAGCAGTTTGTGACCGCGTTGTGAAATCGGTAGGCACGATAATTACGCGCGCGATCATACTATACGGTATCACGTATAACAGGAGATATCGCGCGTTGTATACCAAAGCGCAGTGCCATTCCGAAGGATCGCCTTTCCACAACGATCCGATGAGTTTTGGGCATCAGCACGTCTGGGGACCTCCATCGCGATTAATGGACCTCATCCCAGCAACACGTAGAAAACCATCAAGAGGATCGAGCTAATCACGTCGCCATTGACCTTGTCCATAAACGTGCTCGCGCTATCGATCATCGGCGTGAAAACTCGATGGTCATCGTATATACATACACGCGGGAAGAGAAAAATTATGACTCCGTCGCTTCATGAATCATCAGATAAGTACGGAGTCCCAAACGCATCTCGAGTGTGCTCGCACTAAACGGGTGCAAACTAAAACCATCGAAGGACGAAACGCGTGGTTCTTGAAACAAAAAAACGTTGTAATTGATGAAAAATAAAAACTCACTCGTCCGACTTCCTTGTTCAGCACAGCGGCTTTCCTGTAGACGTCCTCTCTGTCGCAGAGATCGCAGACGTAGCCGTGACACGTGCCCCCCGCTTGCTTGATCATCTCCAGGGTCTCGTTCAGGCCTGCAAGTACGCGCAACGTGTAATAATCAATTGGAACAAATTATTGTAAGCGCGTAGAACAATTGTTTCTTTTCTTTGGCGGTTACAGTCGTTGACCCGTGCGAAAGGAAAGAAAAATGTCCCAATCAAAGCAACGATACTTAATCTAATCAACACCGACCTTACAAAAGGGACGTTTAGCTTCAATGCCTGTAAAAACTCGAGCAAGTGCCCGTTTGTTACGTATTTCTATAAGTAAATATTGTATACACATGAGAGTGTATATCCGGCTCGTATAGCTCATCGCGCAGCCAAGTACTTGGACTGGTCGTGCCATTACTCAAAGCGGCGCGTCGTAAATACGTATATTGATGGTGATTTACGACTCTTTATTTTTCATCGGCCGATGGGAAATTCTTCTCTCTTTCCCTTTTTTTCTCGTCTTTTCTTTCGTCCGCGCGTACACCTCGCGAGAGATCGCACAACCAACTGCGACGAGGACGCGTTAGGGAAAAAAAAAAAAAAAAAAACAATCACGGGCCTGTGTGCAGCTGATGACGGGCTCTTCCAAGCCGCGCGCAATCGAGTCCTGCGGTCTAGACGTCGCCGCATGGCGTATATACGCCGTTTGATCGAAAAATGATCGTCCTGTCGCACCGCGGAGACACTCGGCAGGGGTATAGCTAAAATCCTTGATGAAATTTGGCGGTTGCTACCATTGTAGTCTGCAAACTCGCGCGATCGTTGCAATCTCGGCATCGTACCACGTACAGTGAGTGGGAGATATATATTTATGGTTTTAATTTAAATCGGCTATCGGTCCTTGACTCGACAACTAAAAATTTCTCGATTGGCCCAACTTACATTTTTTGAGCCGCCAGACAACGATTGTATTATACAAGGTTCCAATTGTAGACGTATACTTTGAAAATTTAGGGAAAAATCGGTTAGTTACCCGATCCACCATGAATCGGCATCAACGATGCCGATCGGTAAATTTTCGTCATCCAAAAACACGTTAATTAAGAATAACAACAGTTACGGATGACATAATATTAAGTGTTCGCAGTATATCAATGCACTTTTGTTACGTGTGTTACGAGTATTCTCGATCTATGTGGGGTTACTCGATTACAGACGTGTGAGTTTCCGACTGTTACTTGCGACGGCAATGCATACGTGCAAGTGCCACTTGGCAGCTGCAGCGTGACGAGGAAGAAATCCCCGGGACTTTCTACATCATACTCTTGTACAAGGAACATCCCGATGTTCACGCGCGGATGTGGAGAGAAAATGCGATTCATTCGCTCTTCTGCAGGATCGGCCTAACATTTTTTTGGTATACACGGCAAACACGAATAATTTAAATTAAAATGAGCTTTTAGTGTCTTATAACAATTTCGACACGTTCATACAGTACTCAAAGAGGTTCTGGATATTCATACAAATTTTTTTTTCCTTCGGTGACGTGCAGAGTTTTTGTGGTCAGAACCTAAATTTATATCAATTTAACGATTCTTTTTTGCCGCGACCCGTCATTGGTTTGAAAAAAAAAGTCCTTAGGTGATTTTCAGTGAATAATTAGGCAAGCAAAAAAATGGCACTTTCAATAATTTTGCATACATCAGAGCGAGGATGCTTTTTTCCCCACTATAGTTACGTAAAATTCAGAGATATTAGAGTCTCACTCGTAAAGGTAATGACACCTAGGTTTTTTTTAAATTCATAAAAAGTCGAGTGCAGAGTGCATTATCGTTTCAAAACGATATTGTGTTTTTTTCATTTCCATTGTCTCGAGCTGAGCCATTAGTTTATCGGACGATTCGTGTGCGACGCATCATCAAACTTTGTTATTCAGACAAATAAGAAATTAATTGAAAAATGTCGATTAAAAAAAAAAAAAAAAAAAAAAAACGTAATAGGGCACTGAGATTTAGAAGTAAAGGCACCATTTTGGCCGATGTATCGTAATATCCAAAGAATGGCATTCGACGGAACGAATCAAGCCGCGTTTCACTTAGTTTCCACTCGAGGTAATGAAATTGGACTTTGGAGGAAGGGGCAAAAGAATCACGATCAACCTCAAAGCAAAGCACCTGCTCTGTATGGTCGGACGCGCGCGTAGCCATTATTTTCGCAACGAAAGCAACGAGCGGAAACGGCCTTGAAGTGCATTACGGTGGAGAGAATAGAAAAAAAAAAAAAAGAAAAAAGCTGCTTCTTCGTAGCACGAGGAGGATATTATCGAGTGCTCTGCTATAATGGCACCAAATTGTTTTCTAGAACTTGATACGCATATATTTATACGTTCAAACAATTTCCCCTTGATTCAAAGAACGTACGATTCGACGTTTTCATACACCTATTCTCGATACGAACTACGAACGCGGTGATTTTTTACGGCCAGCCGGCGTAACGGGATATTTATATTATACATGTATCCCAGCTGGAGTCTGCGGCTTACGGTATTTCTGCTCGCCAAAAAAAAAAAAAAATCCTCGCTAATGTGATGTCGATGAGTCTGTCCTGATCTGGTATATAGTTTATCACGTCCTTTCCTTCGGATTTGATCGATTGTCTTGGATTCACCACGATTTTCTTGACGATTTCAAACGCAACGTCCTGAATAAGACATCATTACCGATTATCTGTACGGTTGATTGGACACCTGTTTTACTATTATGTACCGGCTGACAGTAGACATATTTTTTCATCGCAACATTACAATATGCACGACGTGATGTAAGCCAATACTTACATGTATTATACTCTCCCAGATGTACTTGCAATAATTATTATTATCATCGTGCTCTCGTTTACCCGATAATTTTTCAACTAATGATACATGCACAATTTCGTCGTATGGTATCCCAAAGAATAAGTAGAACTCGATGTGATATTGACGTCACTCAAATGACTGTTCTTCGTTTCCTCGTGAAATTTAATTGTTAATTTGGAACAAAACTTTCTCGGGCGTTTTCTAGAAAATTTTTTACGATTAGAGCCTCATCCGTAGCAAATTATAAAAATGCCCTCACGTTGACGAACGCTTGAATTAATTTTTAGTATACATGGATGTAATTTTGCTTATCTGCTCGCATTGTCATCACCTTGCGCTCAAAAGTTAAAAATTATTAACGGTGCTGACTTTGAAAACCGATTTCCAATTACGGTAGTCCGATCAACGTGTTTTTATGACGACCGATTTACGAACGACCGATCTCTGACTTTGTTTTTTTTTCTTTTTTCTGCCAAAAACGTACAAAGTCAAGATAATTTTGATGATTTAGGTAACAGATGTAGTATGTTATACATATGAGAGGCAATGCTCAGCCAACAACGTTTTGTAAAATTAACCGAGAGCAACATAAGCTCGGCAAACAGGTGGTCAGACAAATGTGTATTCTCGCAAAATAAACCGTTACGAAATCCATTAAAACGTGCCACACGTGTATGATAATGAAGATAATGATGACGAGCGAGAGAAAGGGATGAGCCGGGTCACATGTAGTTATAGGTGGGCATATATAGGTACACGTGCACAGTGCAGCCGCATCATCGTGCTACATCATCTATAAAAATGTGATCTACTGAGGTATACATGTATGGGTATATTGTGTGCGCCAGCGAAAGTACAAGTAAAGCATATACATACTTAACACATGAGTAGAGGTTTCTCTCTTCCATCGATACAATATATATATATATATATATATTCCTCGAAAACATATTGAAA